GTATTTATAGGAACTCAAACACTGAGATCCTGCTCTGTTCCAGTAACAAGAAGCCGAAAGCACCAGCCTGAAGATGACGAGTGAGACCTCGTCGAAACGTCGCCTAGACACCCCAACTTTTACACGGGAAGACACCCGAGGACACCAAAACCTGCATTCCTGTACCCGTGAAAATCTACGAAAGCATATATATATATATATATATATATAATGATGAAGAGTGAAAATGGTGGGAAATTGTAATTCAAGCATTTATATATGTAAAATCTTGTTCTTGTGACAGCTAATGCAATTAAGATCAATATTCAGCAGCCATCTTTTTCAAAGAGCTGTGACCAGGAACACAAGGCCAAGTTCAAAGCTGCCAAGAGAAATAATTATGTAGTGGACTTGCAAAGTAGAATATAAATTATTAGAAGTCTCTCTGACCTCTGGATTCTGTGAAACCCATTTCATTATTACTGATAGGTAGCAGGATAACTATAGATGTCTCACTGAGCTGTTGTCATTTTTAATTTGGACTTTACCTAGGAGTCCAAATGGAAGTGTAATGTTCAATTAGCATCACATCCTTGTAATAAGAGCCTTGAGCATAAGAAGTAAAATGAAGAGACAGTCTACTATCCCTACTCATGCATGTCATTTTAAAAAGGAAATGGCTAACATTGAGACTCTTAATTCTGAAAGGTAGCTCAGTACATTGTCACCAGTGTTGACAAAGTTGAGATTGGCTGTCAGGGAGAAATGCTCACCATTTTAAAAAATGAGGACAATGTCATAGAGAGAGTCAGCTTGTACCTTTGTTCCTGTAACATGTGAACAATCCTATTATATGTCCCAAATAAACATCCTAGGAACAGAATGGAAAGACCCTGGAAGCCTGGAAAGAAAACATTAGGAGCCATGCACATCGAACCTTTCCTGCCCGAGATAGCTGTCATTTTAGTTCCATCTCTAAGATCACTGAATGTGAAAATAAATAAATAAAATTAAAATATATCTAAGCAGGGATGCCAGCAGGATTTTCTAGACCTAGAAGCAGATTAGGCTCTCTGCTTGTCTTGCAAAAGAGGTAACAGATATGTGCAACATTAGAATATGCTTTGTGCAATATGCAATTTTATATCCTGATTGTGGATGGGTGTGTTGGAAGGGCCAGACGCAAGTAATAATATGTCTTGCAGACAGAATGTCAACAGAAGAAGCCTTTCCCATAATTGTATTTCCATACTAGAAAAGGCTCCACCTGTGCAATTTTTGCCTCCCCTCCCCCCCCCCCACTTCCCTGGTATCTCCAGTTACAATTGGAAGAGACCTGAAGTGTAGGTGGGTTCCCACAAGGCAAGACACAGTGATAACAGCAAGAACTGCTCATATACATTTCTGAAGGCCTGGGCCACTCACACTCCCAACGTGATTGGCTGTCTAAACTTCCAAGCTGCGACTCATGACTGAGTTTAAGGGCCAGTGAGGTAAAAGGTAAAGGTACCCCTGCCCGTACGGGCCAGTCTTGCCAGACTCTAGGGTTGTGTGCTCATCTCACTCTATAGGCCGGGAGCCAGCGCTGTCCGCAGACACTTCCGGGTCACGTGGCCAGCGTGACAAGCTGCATCTGGCGAGCCAGCGCAGCACACGGAACGCCGTTTACCTTCCCGCTGGTAAGTGGTCCCTATTTATCTACTTGCACCCGGGGGTGCTGTTGAACTGCTAGGTTGGCAGGCGCCGGGACCGAACGACGGGAGCGCACCCTGCCACGGGGATTCAAACCGCCGACCATGCGATCGGCAAGTCCTAGGCGCTGAGGTTTTACCCACAGCGCCACCTGCGTCAATGGCAGATTTGGGCCAATGGCAGAGGCCCAAATCCTGAAATGTTCTGTGATTGGATATCCTGTATTGAATTAGAACACAGGAGCTCAGAATCCTTAGTCCAGACTCGAGCTCAAGCAAAAACAGACTACATGAATACATAACACGAACCATGCCTGAAATCCTGGAGAACCAATTCCAGTCAGTGCAGACAATATAGATAAACCAATGGTCTTCCAGAATCTTTCCATTCTGTTCCTAGGCCATTTTGGGGGGACATATAGTAGGATTGTTCACCTTATATGGAGATATAAGGTGGATTCCTATTTACAGTGGTACCTCAGGTTAAGTACTTAATTCGTTCCGGAGGTCCGTACTTAACCTGAAACTGTTCTTAACCTGAAGCACCACTTTAGCTAATGGGGCCCCTGCTGCTGCCGCGCCGCCGGAGAATGATTTCTGTTCTCATCCTGAAGCAAAGTTCTTAACCTGAAGCATTATTTCTGGGTTAGTGGAGTCTGTAACCTGAAGCGTATGTAACCTGAAGCGTATGTAACCTGAGGTACCACTGTACTTCTATGGTCTGCAGGGTGGTGAGTAATGACGGGTGTTCTCCATGGCAGGTCCTCATTTGTGAAACTCCCTCCCTGACAGTGCATGTCTGTTCCCTATGCTGATGGTATTTAGGTGCCAGTTAAAGATATTGCTGTTCATCTGGGCCTTTGAAACATGAATGTTTAATCAGATTTCAGCTGCTGGTATTGCACTAGGTAAAAATGTACTATGTAGATGCTTTTATTGTATCGGTTGAAGTCTTACATGGTTTCCACTAAGCTCCTGTAAGAGGAAGGGCAATATAGAAATGAAAATAAATAAATAACAATTGATAAAGAATATTTCCCCCTAGGAACATAATCCACTTTGTGGCCTTGTGTCCCTAGGCAGATAGATCATGGCGGCCCTTGCATGCAATGAGCCATGGGATTCTGGCAATATCAGTACATTCACTGGCTCTTAAAGAGAGAGAGAGAAAATTGAATTAGATGCTAAAATAACAAGTTAATCCCTTTGGTACCAACATGAAAGCCCCAGTCACTTCTAGTCATGTTGAAGGACCACATTGTGCTAATATTAAAGATCTTTGTCTTGATTTTTTTTGGGGGGGTGGATGCAGCTTTCATATATATAGAAAGAGAGGGGGGATTTATATGACTAAAGAGTTGAAATACTCTTTCCTCAAATGCCGAGGGTTTGTTGCCAGTGGGTAATTTAAAGCTCACACAGAAGTCTAACGTGCTGAGTCATTGACCTCTGCCCTCAAGGTTCATGACTTACATCCTTGCATGGCTGAAACAGATGGAAACTACGCTGGATATAGAAGTTTAATGTTTCCCAAAGGCCCTATTTCTCTTGTGTGCTCTTCCTCCCACTAATGAACTATTTACTTTTAAGATGGGGACAGGGGGGCAGTTCCACAAATCCAAGTCTATTTAAAGGAAAACTCTGCAGTGATTTATGATGGGACAGCAACAGGCAGCTGTCTGTTTTGTTACGAGAGGCCATCTTTCCTAGAGCATACTGTGTAGTAGGCGGCACTGGTTGGCATGCAAATTATGTAAAATGGCATTGGCTGATTCAGCAGGTATTGAATTGTGTTGGTCAACATTATCAAGATACAGTGGTACCTCGGGTTAAGTACTTAATTCGTTCCGGAGGTCCATTCTTAAACTGAAACTGTTCTTAACCTGAAGCACCGCTTTAGCTAATGGGGCCTCCTGCTGCTGCCGCGCCGCTGGAGCACAATTTCTGTTCTCATCCTGAAGCAAAGTTCTTAACCCGAGGTACTATTTCTGGGTTAGTGGAGTCTGTAACCTGAAGCATATGCAACCTGAAGCGTATGTATGCTGGTGTATGGCTAGGAGGAATGGGTAACTTGTCTCAGACCTCCCTCTCACTCCCTTTCTGTCTTTCTCAGTCTCAGCAAGAGTTTGTTTCTTGGTTACTAGGTGACTCAGCCCCCTCTACACTCAAGCCCTCTCCTCTTCTGTGGGGACAGCTTGCCTATGTCAGCAGACACAGACTCAGCCATCTAAACTCCTCGAAAAAGGACAAGATCCCCGACATTTTTGAAATGGAAAGGCTTCCCTTCCTAACACTGCCTATTCAGGCTTGTTTTTATTCTACAGTCTAGGCTAAGGCAACACTAACAAAAAACAGTGCTATGTGCAAAATTAGAGAGCATGGGAGAAATTTGGTTCTGGGCACCTAGTTTGTCTAATCCTCCCCCCCCCCCCAATGCAGATGAAAACACTTCCATTGCACTTCTCTAAATTTTGCAGTGCAATTCTTCTGCCAAAATATGTTAACAAAAATGTATGTATTAGAGAGAAGTGTGCATAAAAATGCATTGATTATAAGGCTGCCATACGTCCCAAATTTCCCAGGATTTGTCCTTCGAAAATTACGTCTGGGTGGAATTGTCTAAATGCGGCTTAAAATGTCTGGGAAAACCCAGGTGCCTGGTATTCCATATCGGAAGTGTTGGAGTTTTTGGTGATTTTCCTTTTTAAAACTTTTTTTTCCTTGGAGATTTTGCCCAACAACTTTGGGCCAAAAGAAAAAGAAAAAGAGCTCAACAACCTTTGTATCCGGATTTTCACTTTTTGAAATATGGCAACCCTAACTAATTACTGAATTATATTAGGAAAGATGGCTCACAAACATGGGCATATTGGGACAAATATACACTAAAATGCTAACAGACTTTAATGAGGAATTTTAAAAAAGTGAAAACTCATACAGAAATGTGGTGAACAGAACAGAAGACTGGAAAAATAAAAAAAAAATGCAGAGAAACTAACACTGAGAGTCATCCACCCCTGATTTTAAAAGGCATAATGTAAGGCAAGAAAAGAAGAAACGTCCTCTAGCATAATTGGTAGGGTCATCTTCATTCATCTTTTTCTTCAGGGGTAGAGTGCTATTGCTTATATACTGAAAACAGCAGTACTCAAACACAAATAAATATGCAACAGGGGACTCAGAAGACTTCCAAAGCATGCTCAAGAAAAATAAAATATACAATGATAATAATGAAAAGAGATACAAAACCCCCAAAAGAAAGAAAGAAATCAAAACTTAAAAATGAAAGAAGATACAAAAGCCCTCAAAGAAAGCAAAAACTGTGCATACCTCATGAGAGTGGAGAACGTAAGAATAACCTGTTGGATCAGGCCAACGGCCCATCCAGTCCAGTGTCCCATTCTCACAGTGGCCAACCAGATGCCTGGGGGAAATCAGGGAGCAGAACATGAGCACAAAGGCCCTCTCCTCTCCCATGGTTTCCAGCAACTGGTATTCCGAAGCATTGCTACCTCCAACTGTGGAGGTAGAACACAGCCATCCTGACTAGTAGCTGTTGATCACCCTCTCCTCCATGATCCTCTTTTAAAGCCATCCATCATGGTTGCCATCACTGCCTCCAGGGGAGGAGTAGGGGCCAAAGGCAGAAGTGAGAGAGCTTTCTCTTGCTCCCCACAGCTGCTACTTCAGCTCCGTGCAGTTTTTTTGTATCCCAGTGGGGAAAGAGGCCAGCTGAAATCTAACCAGGAGCACTCCTGTTAGAGGTCAGGATCCACAGCAGTATTTTGTCACAGATCTCAACTGTATTTTCAATATATATATATATACATATAACGGATGTTGCTTCAGAGCTACTTCCTACAAGTTAACAAAGACCATCATGAAAAGCATGTGTGCTCATGGTTATCTTATAGGCTTTAGATCAGTTTCATCCAGTGCCATTTCCAGCTGATGAAGTCCCACTTAGTAGAAATTTCCCATCCCACATAGTGTTGGTTTCCCTCTCACTTTGTCAGGGGACCGTGACAACCAGGGATAAGATGTTGGCCAATGGGGATTTGTCCTCCAAACAAATTTCCCTTGGGAAGACTCAGCAGATGGGATTGCTCATCATTTCTTGAGTCTGATTGACATTTGGTGTCAGGAAGGAATTTTTCCCAAGATCAGCTGACGTTCCCCAGGTCAATGTCAATTTTATGGTTTTCTTTTGACTTTTGTGGCTTGGCACCTTCTGAAACACATCTATTTGTGGCACATGAAGGTCTGGAGGGATCAAGCATATTTGTTCTGAGGAGTTGGTGGCTGGGTGGCCCTTGCTCATGACAAGACCTTTTGGATACTTCCAACTCTTTGATGCTACAGTTCTATGGTATACTGACTAGGGGTGCTCAAAGATTTCATTCAATACACATTTTTTATGGGAAACAATATGATTCATACTTCTGGATTGATATGAACCTTAGAATCCTTCAGCTTCCACACCTCTCCAAATTAGAACTGATTAGAACAAAACACCATTGACCAAAGAGAAACGGGTTCTGCACTTATGGAATGCAGCTGTGAGGAACCTATGGCCTGTAGTCCTAATCAGGCCCACCAGAACTCTGAACTGTGCCCACAAGGCAATTTCAGGCCAGTAACCTAATGACATGGACACAGGTGGCGCCGTGGGTTAAACCACAGAGCCTAGGACTTGCCGATCAGAAGGTCGGCAGTTCAAATCCCCGCGACGGGGTGAGCTCCCGTTGCTCGGTCCCTGCTCCTTCCAACCTAGCAGTTCGAAAGCACGTCAAAGTGCAAGTAGATAAATAGGTACCACTCTGGTGGGAAGGTAAACGGCGTTTCCATGCGCTGTTCTGGTTCGCTAGAAGCGGCTTAGTCATGCTCACCACATGACCTGGAAGCTGCACGCCGGCTTCCTCGGCCAATAAAGCAAGATGAGCGCCGTAACCCCAGTCGGTCATGACTGGACCTAACGGTCAGGGGTCCCTTTACCTTTAACCTAATGACATATGGTATGTGATGCTTCAATCTGAGATAAGGCTCTACTTGTTCTTTGATGGTAAAATGCAGCAGCAGGTGCTTATATCTGATCTTAGTGCTGTGACCCCCACCGTGCTAAGACTGGAGATAAGTCTCTGCCCGTTGTCTTGTAAAGAGCAAGCAGGGGCTTGTCTCCAATCTTCTTCCCCACCTCTGATGAAATGTTCAGTTATTAGGGTGCAATTCAACACCAGGCTAAGGTGATTGTTCCATCAGCTCAAGTAGGTCTGTTTGCCAGACAAAACGATCTCCCCACTCTTTCCCCTGCATTGTGTTCTGGGGGTTCATCCAACCTGCCAGAGTCCTGGGGATGGAGAGGGCGGAAAGTTTTGTTGCACTAGCTGGAGTCATTGTGCTAACTCCCACCAGTTAAGCTATTTAGTTGAATCATGCACTTAATAAATTATTTGAACCAATTTATCCAACTTTGTGGCTGAACAAAAAAAAAGGGTCTTAATCCCAGTTTATGGAGCAATCATAACATACCGCTGCCACAGATGTGACTCCCTGGCCTTGCCACTCACAGCAGCAGCATCAGAAGGGGGAAGGGCAGGTAGTATATACACACATATTTGAAATATATAGGAAGCCAAATGTTCTAAATAAAAAGGAATCTGAAAGATGCTTGGAAAATCTAAATATGTTTTTTAAATGAGAATTTGGCTGCCTGTTAGTCTCCATGTTTGCTTGTACAATTCTAATTTACTATGAATGCCATTCACTTTGACATCATATCACCAGGAATTGTACATTTATATAAATGTTGTTAATTAGTCTTTTGTTTATCCGATGTTCACTTTGTTTTGCAAGACCAAAAAAAATAGCCGGACCATTTGAGGTCAACTGCCCTGAATTTTGCAATGTAGCCTACCTCTCAATGCACTCTGTATTCTGTAAAAGGAACTAGATTCAACAGTGCAATTTTAACAAGGTGGCATTGGAAAAGAATGTCATAAATGAGCATTACACTTCGTATTTTCTACTCTGTATCAACACTGTCGCGGCAGAAGAGGACAGTTTAAAGAACAAAGTAGAGGGCAGGAATAAATGGGCAGTTCTCAAAATGAAAGGGACACAAGCATTGATATTTTTCAGGGCTCTGTATTGGGTATGGTGCTATTTAATAAATGGTCAGGAATAAGTGGTGATATAGTAAACCTCCTGATAGCACTAAAATATTAAGGAGATGAAAATGAAAATGTACTGCAAAGAACTACAGAGGGAACATTTCCAAACCAGTTGAATTAGAAACGAAATGGCAAATTATGTTCAATGCCTGTGTAGAAGAGCACTAGCCAATGTGGTTTCATCCAGATATTGTGGATTACCACTCCCATCATCTGGGACCATTGGCCAGCCTGTCTGTGGCTGATGGAAACTATAGTCCAAAACATCTGGCTACTCATAAGGTAATGTTCATTAGGACAACAACTGTCAATTTCATATGCACATTAATATTGTCTGAAGCGCTGGGAACTAACAAGTACTGATGTAGCTCTGAGGCCGGAAAGAACCCTCGGGATTCATCATGTTCACTTCCACTTGTGAATCTAAATTATGGCTCCTGAATCCTTATTGAACTTGGATTTTCATCTGAGCCAGAGAAGAGTTTACCCCTCCCTATCTTTCAACTTACTGGCAGGGCTGGGCCAAGACATTTTGGCACCTGAGGTGCACCACAAAATGCTCCTGTCCCACCAGGGAACGAAGGGTGAGTGAAGAACTGCATCAGGAACAAGGGTGGAATAAAGATCTACAATGTGAACAAGGCAAATTCCATAGAACTGGAAAGAGTGCAGAGATTATCAAGAGACTGGAGCATCCTCTCTATAAACTAAATCTAAAATGTTGGGGGTGACTAAAAAGGGGGGCAGGTTAGAGATTATCAAATTACCCAAAGCATGGAAAATAATGAACAGAGGGAATTCTTTATGTTTCTCATGACATTAGAATCACAGCTTTCCCAAGGGAATTGATTGGAATTGCTTTCGGGAAAAGCAAAAGGGAGTCTTTCATCACAGAGTGTCAAGCCAGTGGAATTTGCTGGTGGTTTTTCTGCTGAAAATGATCTCCAGTCCTACCTGCATTTTTCCCCCATGGGAGAAAAGATAAGAATATTCAGCACTAAGTGACCTGCCAACACATTCTTTATGAATATCAAATAGGCTTGCAAAATATTAAATATAAGTTTAGGCCACAAATACTGTGCTTATCATTAACTTTGTTTGCCTTTGTATTTTCATGCCACAAGAACTTTATTTCTTAAAACACATGGTGGCCCTGATGAATTTCATTCCAAAATATTCTTAGCTAAAGCAGATTTAATCACTCAGAAGTTGTCATTTCCTTGAAAGTCAGCCGTTTCGTTAGATTCGGCGGAGGACGTGGCTAACTGGCAAAGCTCCTGCTCTGTTAGTGAGAAATACACAGGGCATGAAGGTTCAGGGGGAAAGAACGAGAAGAGGCCAAAGGTAAGGTGGCAAAAAGCCAATTAAACTGTAATGGGAACATATGGAGATTTATACAGTCGACTGTGCATTCAAGGGGCATGGGAGGGCGTCGCAGACCCACCTGGGCTAGTCCCAAGTGATGCATGCCTATGCTGTGCCCCTGGCACAACCTCGTGCTGTAGAAATGTTTCTCTGTCTTCTGCACATTATGAAAAAGTGATGTACGCTCATAAAGCCCTCACAACCATATGCACATTTAGCTCTTTCCCACACCAGCCAAATGTATGCATGATAGCAAAGAATTCCTGCTGCACGCTGGGACTACAGTGGACGCTTGGGTTGCGAACGTGATCTGTGTGAGAGGCACGCTCACAACCTGCAGTGTCTGCAACCCACAGCTCATTCGCGGGTTGCGATTCAGCGCTTCTGCGCATGCGCAAAGTACAATTTAGTGCTTCTACGCATGTGTGAGTGCCGAAACCTGGAGGTAACCCGTTCCGGTACTTCTGGGTTTCGGCGCATCCGTAACCTGAAAATGCGCAACCTGAAGCGTCTGTAACCCGAGGTATGACTGTATTCACTTCACCCCTGTCACGCCACACAAACATTTTACTCATCATAGGAGAGGGAAGGTCATGTGAACTTCCCTAGCATCAAGCTGAGTCCTTGTTGCTCAGACCAAACTAGGCCTGCCTTCAAAGCTGCTAACAGGGTGAGTTTCGTCACATGGTGTCTACTCGGATCAATGTGGTGTTTAAGCTGTTTCATCTAGCTTTTTCGGTTCCCTCTGCAGTTCCTCTTTCTCACCTGAGCTTGACTGCTAAACACCAGGTACCAGCCTCTCCCTGCCTGACATTTCCAAGGTGCCAGGTTCAGAGGCAGCTGTCATCTGGTCTCCATAGACCTGCGCACAGCCAGAACCTGATCCA